TGAAGAGGTGAGCTACACATGTGGCTGAGAGCTGCAGAATTGAATGATTAGATGTTATTTTAAAATAACTTGCCAAATCTTTGGTTGCAGATCTTCAGGTGACATTTAAGGTGCACTTGACCATGAAGCAATAAGATAAGATTATGTACCCCCACAAAAAGTTATGGGCTTCATGACCCAGGGGTCAAATACCCCCTCTGCAGGGAATGAGACTTCAGACTTCAGAAAGCAAACTGAAAACAGTGCCAGCCCCAGAAGCCCCAGCCCAAGGATGACACAGACTTCTTCTGACTCAGAAGAATCCGTCACAAAAGCAATGGAAGTGGGCGGGACCTCTTGAACTGAAGAGGCACCTATTAGTGAAAGTGGAGCTTACAATTTGAACAGAATCACTCTATATCTCAATCTAAGGTTCACTGTTGCAATACCATAGCTATGTTATGATATAGCAGTCAGCCTTAGCCCTCTCAGTCTAAGGTTAATTGTTGCTGAAGCTACTTTGGAGATCTGCAATGTCATATATCTGCTTTCTTCTATCATTCTGTCTGAGCCTGACACAAGGTGCCCATCTGTGCTCACAGCAGGTCTATTACTTGGGAGAAAGTCTGCCTTACATCCCCCACAGAAAAGCATGCAACATCCTGCTACTGTGTTTGGAGGAGAGCAGCTAGAAACATTTGTTTATGTCTGTGTGCTTCTCAAATTGTTCCAAAGTACCAGCATTGTTTTGTTTTGTCTCCATAAAGCAAACAATGTAATGACAAATCTTCTTAATGCTGGGGTCCCAGTCTGTTTGTTTATGCAGCTTATTCTTAAGCTAAGCTTCACCTTGGTAGACATTGTAATTAAGTTTTTGGATATATATTTGAATAAATTGTTGATAGAGCACTCCTCCCCCCCCCAATACAGTTTAAAGGCCTAGAAGATTTTAATTAAATAGGCACACAAGCATAGGAAATATTGACATTCTTCAAAAATGCCAATATCTTTTCTTCAGTTCTTGTAAACAGAAGGGTACGTTATTAGTAACTAGTGAAATGCCAATCATTATGATGAGATTGTGAATTTGGAAGGGGGGGGCCTCAGGGTATTTGAAAAGCATCTCTGTTTGTTTCATGCAAGTGACACATTGCCCTACCCAATGTGGTTTCCATGAGGAGAAGATGGACCAGTCAATGCTGTTCTATAAGGGTGAATGGGACCCTGCCCCACCAACTTCAGTCAGCTTTCATCCAGCCCTTATCTACCCTGCCTTCTTAATTACAGTCAGCCAGGGGGTGGGTGGGCACTGTCTGTCAGCTTCCTCCTCCTTATTCACAGTCTTCTTTTGCAGAATTCAGCAAGGAAGATACAACTGAAATTAATTGAGTTTGCTCATTCTGAACTTTAGCCTGCCCTAACTGTTGGCTACTTTTCCTTCATGATTTCCCCCGTCTTCCATTTCTTATGCATGCTCCTTTTAAATCTCAGCTCACCTGAAAGCTTCTTATGCAGTCATTTGATGTATACTACCTTTCCTTCTTGCTGGTAGTTTGCAATTGTGCATTTAACAAACCCCCATCTATCATGAACTCCCTTCTCTTTGTACATTTCTGACCATGGGATCACACCCAGTAGTTCCTTAAGCTTTTTGAAATCAGCTTTCTTAAGATCCAGAGTGCACATCTGGCTACACTCAGCTTCCACTTTCCTCTGTAAAATAAATTCCAGTAGGGCATGATCACTTTCTCCCAAGGTTCCCACTACTTCCACCTAATTGGCAATTGCTTCCCTGTTGCTGAGGATCAGATCCAAGATAGTTGATCTCCTGGTTGCTTCTTCTACCTTCAGGAAAATAAAATTTCATAAATACACTGGGGGATTTGTTGGGCAATACACTGTTGGCAGAGTTTGAGTTCTAACACATAGGGTAGTTGAAGTCTCCCATGATTACTATGCTTTCCTTTTTTAATACTTAGTCACCTGCTCTAGGCAGGCAACATCCATGTCTGGCTTGGAAGTTTAAAGCAGACTCCTACAGTGAAGACATTATTGTTTCCTTCTCACAGGTATACACATCACTTTACTTATAATTTCACTCCTCTTCCCTTCCTGTTCAGCATATGGTATTCCCTTTGAATAGATTTACCGTATATACCTCAGTTGCTTCATTCCAGTCATGAGTCTCATCCCACCATGTTTCAGTAATGCCCATTATATTGCATAAGGGAATTACCTTATATTTTTTGTCACTGCTATATTCATAGAGATTTCTGATTTTTTCCCAACTCTGAGCTAATAATTATGGAAGCCCAGGATTATTGTAAGCCCTTTTTTTTTTGTTGGGGGGGTATTTTAAATGCCTACCTTTAATTAGCCAATGCGCCAAAGCTAGTCTAGTAAAGCTTTACTGAGGGCACAAGGTTAATTTCCTATCCCACAGTCCCACTGTTAATTCCTTGTGTGCTCTTTTTAATTTATGAAAGAAGCAGAAGCAAGAAATCCACAATAAACCATCATAACACTGGCTGCCTGCAAAAGACAATATAATCTTGGCTTAAATGAGTGTGTCCTCACTAGATTCTGCAAAGCATAATCAAGATTTATATCCATTATGACCTTTAATATTTACCAGCTGCAATCCCACAAATTGAATCACGTGACCACTGGTTCCTCAGCTGCAGCAACTGCTTCATTTGAAAGACCACAAACATTCTGCAAAGCAATTTTTAAGTAAAAGAAAATCCCATTTCCTCTTTGAAATGTAATCTTCTGAGGGGTGAAGGGAGAAAGAGTCACTGTTTTTCATCATGAGATGGATGGTTCCACCTGCCTCACAGAATTGTGGAGTTCGATGGGACCCCAAGGATCATATCTAGTCCAACTTCCTGCAATACAGGAATCTCAACAAAGGCATCCATGACAGATGGCCATCTAACCTCTACATAAAAGCCTCCAAGGAGAGTCCACCACCTTCTGAGGGAGTCCTATCAAACTATTAAACAGCTCTTACAACCAGAATTCTTCCTGATGTTTAGCTGGAATCTCCTTTCTTGTAACTTGAAGCCATTGGTTCAGGCCCTAACCTCCAGAGCAGGAGAAAACAAACTTGCTCCATCTTCCATGTTGTCACATGCCCTTTATATAGTTCTAGATGGCTATCATATCTCCTCTCAGTCTTCTCTTTTCCAGGCTAAACATACCCAACTCCTTCAGCCATTCCTCATAAGGCTTGGTTTCCAGAACTTTAATCATCTATGTTGCCCTCCTCTGGGTTGCTATATTCTGAAGAGCAAAAAAGAGGACACATTTGCTGACTTCTACTTTTAGCCATGGATTGCTATGAAGACTCTATGTATGAAAAAGAGGGCATGTCCTAGAATAGAGGACATCCTTCTTAAATTGTGGCGCCCCAAACTGGACACAGTACTCCAGGTGTGGTTTGACCAAGGTAGAATAGTAGTAGTACCAAAGCAGTACTATTACTTCCCTTGATTCAGACAGTATTCTAACATTGATGCAGTCTAGAATAGCATTAGCCTTTATTTCTTTTTTGCTGCCACATCACACTGCTGACTCATGTTAAGTTTGTGGCCTTCTAAGACCCCAAGATCCTTTTCACATGTACTACTGGCAATCCAGGTGTCTTTCATTTGATATTTGTTCAGCTGGTTCTTCCTGACGAAGTGCAGGACCTTACATTTGTGCCTGTTGAGTGGGTGTGCCGACTGGGGGCCTTCTGCCGCCTGGTCCTGATTTATTGAAGTTGGAGCAGATGTTTGTGTCCAGTTGTGCTGCTACAGATACACTACAGCATTTCTTCTCTCTGTGCTCCTCCCAGCTGTTATTCCCCTTCTGGTCGCTGTTGTGGATACATGACCTGACTGTCTGTCTCCAGGCACTGCAATCATCTGCAAGGGATTCCCATATGGTGGGGTTAATATTGCCAACCTTCATGTCACATTTGCAGGCAACTGCCTTTGTGCAGAACTCCATGCAGGCTTAGGCAAAATGATTTATGTGTCTCTGTAGAGCATCCTCAGAAGGTCTATGTCATCTGCACACAACATCTCTACACCCCACCCCATATCCCCATAAAATTCCCCTGCATCCTCTTTTAGTTTTTTTGCCTGGCTGCAACTGTGATAATGCCTCTTGCTTTTTTTGAATGGAAGATAGAAAGAGATGAGTGACAGGAGTGAGCAAGCAGTAAATCACACTGGGTAAGTTGAAGTAAAGTTGGAATTTATTAGCAAAAACAGGAAGTGCACAGGAGGGTCAGGCCTGATGAACATTGCAACTCATCTCTAGCAGGTCTTGTCCCCACGAAACAGAAGCTAAGACAGCTCCCCACAGCTGTTTACTTGACTTCCTCCCCAAGGTTTGTCCCAAGCAATCTGAGTGTGGCTGTGCAAAACAAACTTCTCCGCCACCCTCTTCATGCCTCTCCTGGTTCTGCTCATTGCTGCAGAAGGGGGGACACTTGTGCCTCTTCACTAAGCTGGCTCTTCTCTGCCTCTTGGACTCCCTCCTCTTCAGCTTCAGCCTCAGCTTTTGATTCTGGACTTCTCCCTGTCATGGATTCCCCCTGCTCACCACTGTTACCACTTCTGACACCTCCTTGTCTCAGTCTCCTCCCTCTGACCACTCATCATCATCTCACCAATCCTCAGGCTCTGAACCATCTTCCCTTTGGGGTTTCCTAGCTGGTTCCTCCCATTATTCCTCTGTGGCCAAGCAGCCTATGACAGCTGGTGACATGTGGCCATAAGTAGAAACCTCTGTCTTTTACTGTGCAAAGGTAAAAATCACACCAGTTGTCCCACCAACTTTTGCCACTAGACCTCACCCCCACCACCGGAAAATTACCCATGAGGGAATGTGGACCTCAGGCTATAAAACAGGCTCTCCAGCATAAGCTTATAAAACAGAAGGTGAAGCTGGGAGGGAATCATGGAATCATAGAGTTGGAAGGGACGCTAAGGATCATTTAGCCCAACCCCCTGCAATGCAGGAATATGCAGTTGGCACATACAGGGATTGAACCTGCAACCTTGGGTTATCAGCACCATGCTCTAACCAACTGAACTATCCAGACTGGGTCCATTAAAAACAAGTACAAATATTAGATCCTACTGTATTCTCAGCAATATGAACACTGGTTTTTACTTTCAAGGAAACAACTGTGCCCTTGCTCTTGCATGCCAGTTCTATCCAATGTGCAAAATTACAAGCAGAAAGCTACTGAGTTGGAAGATAACATGTGTCAGTTCTGTTACTCTAATTCAGAGATCCTTTGAAGGGATAAACCAGTTAAAATAAAACTGAATTAGACATCAGATTCAATTTCACAAGGCTTCAGTCACAGTGCATCAGAGGTTCAAGTGAAGTTCAGCTTGAAACATTTTTGCAAAATGAAAACCGTAGCAAAAACATTATTTTAAAAGGTTTAGATTTTGAGCATGGAAAGAGACAAAGAGGGAATAAGCCCCTTCATCTGCTGACGAGCGAAGGAAAAACCTCTTTCCCCCCCTCCCCGCTTGCGTGATATATTGCAAACAGGGGAAGTATTTTATGTATATCTGATGGCTGCAACATCTTCACAGTATCTTGTTCACATAGCAGTTTCATCCATCCATTGCCATTATTTCTACCTTGCCTTTCAGGTTACAAATCTTTCCAAAGTGGCTTACAAGAAACATTAAACAGCAACTTATTGGCTCCCTGTTTGAGGTGTATTACTTTCTTATTGAAATTATTTTATTTTATTTTTAATCACACAGCTATATTGCTATACCCCACCCCAGGCCTTATAGTAAATGAAGGCTGAGAAATACCACAGTGAATGAAATACTTTTAAAATGGACATACAATGCATGGGTTGTTTCCAACTCACTTCTATCCAGAGAAGACCCACTGTAATTAAGGGACTTAAGTAAGCCATGCCTATTAATTTCATTTGGCCTGCTTTGAGTATGACGAAGGCCACAGTCACATCATACAATTAAATCACTATGGTATCAGTGGAAATAATCATGGCTTCCCCACCCCACCCCCAACAAACAAAGAATCCTGGGAGCAGTAGTTTGTTAAGAGCATTGAAAGTTGTTGAGATGTCCTTATTACCCTCACAGAGTTACACTTAACAACTCCCAGCTCCCAGAATTCTTTGGTAGAAGCCATGACTGTTTATCCTGGTATCATGGTGCTTTAATTGTATGGTGTGAATGGGGACTTATTCATGCCAAATGAAATTAATAGACTTAATAGACTCACATGAAACTAAATGTGGAGTGTGGGGTACACAAGCGTAGCCTTGTTAAACAAGCAGGAGGAAGCACTGAAAAATACTTCTGTTTCCACTTCTCCGAAACCACTATGAGTCTATTTCCTATCTAAGTCCTTCACACTTTTTCTGAGTTATAGTAATAGAATACCAGATTTTGCTGTTCACAGCAGAGAGATCTAAAGTTCCCCTCTTCTTTTCAAGAAGAAATTGTAGTGGAAGTCAAGCGTACCAAAAGCAAAAAAAGGGAACTGTTCATAAAATACCTTCTGAGAATTCACAATCAATGCTTCCCCTCACTTTTACACTTCTTTGTTTCCATCTATAATGGGCTGCTATATAGCAGCAATGTGCCATGCTGAATCCACTGCAGAATCACGATGCAATTATGCAATATGCATGTGTGTGTGTGCACACGCGCACACAAACAATTTTAATTTTTTTTAATTTAAGAGAGCAGGAGAAGTGGCTCAACTTTATCTACTGCAATCCAGAAATCCTGCAGAGGGGGAGTGTTGTACTGCCCAACAAAGCATGAGTATGAATGGTTGTTATGGCTATGATGAATTGCACCTTTAATTAATGGCATCTGGAATGTCGTTTTATAATGTTTTCATTCAAGCAGTGATTGCCCTTAATGCTTACAAAGAAAAACTAGGTATGATCTGTCTTTGTAGCCACCTATGCATAGTGGATAAAACAAAAGGCAAAACCACCACTACCACCAAGGGACTAATTAAGGTTAGGAGAAAAAAATTCTTTCCAGGGCTTTCAACTTGTGCAGTGACCAAGTGAGGTTCTAATGCTGTGGGTGAGAAGCTCAGTGCACCACTTTCAGGACCAATTGCACATGTCCCCATCAGGTTGCACCATAAACCAGGCTAGTAGATGCATTCTGCACTAGCTGCAGTCTCTGGACGACACCCAAGGGCAGCTCCACATGCAGTGCATTACACTAGTCCATTAGGTGGCAGTCTTTGCTGACGGACAAGTTGCTGGAGGACAGGACTGTGTGAGGTTGCTGCTTCCAAATGCAGTGGAGAGTGCTCCTCCATCAGCCATGTTGAAGCATGTCAGCTTCTTCACATGGAATGGGAGCAGGCAGGGACACCACAATGTCCTTTGCTTCAGGCAGGAAAAATAATAATATTGGGCTATCCTCTGCCTCCCGCAACATGATGCTATCCCTCTTTCTTCAAATCACATCTCCAAACCTATTTCCCCACCCCATGAAGCCTTTGACAGAACTACATTGTAGCCATACTCCAGTGCAACCAATCCAGGAATGTATGCAATGAAAATGAATGCATAGGCTTTCCCTGTTTGCCGCTGTCTCAATTTCCAGTCCCTTCCTTGCCATGTCCAGAGTTGACTTCCTGTATTAGAGCAAAAGCACTGTATTTAGCCAGATTGAAGGACAAGGACAACAAAACTTGATGGGCGTTCCCAGAGTTCCCTGGGAAGAGAGTTTGGGTGTTAAAACACTCTGAATTGTAGTGCTTTGTGAGTAGTAGGAGTCACCTAACAGTTCTGATCACCCTGATCAAACTACAGCTCCCATAACAATTTGGGGGAAGCCATGACTGTTCAGTGTTTAAAATATACAGTATGGATATGGCTCATGTTCTGCTTGGGTTTTAAGGGCACAGAAAGTGCCCATGACCAAAGTAAGTCTATTCCAGGGAGACTGTTTTCCTTGTATACCAACAAACAAACAAAACCCAACACACACACACACACACACACACACACACACACAAATGCTATTCAAAATCTTTCGAAACTATAGGGACTCTCTTCTAACTTGGCTTAAACTTAGCAAGTATAAATATATAATACAGCTCTGTTCAAAGGGTAATAGTGCTTGCGGGGGAAATAGCTTAGCAATCTATATAGCAAGATAAAACAGAGTGTCTCTCTCTAAGGTATTTTGACAAATAGATTTACAATTCCAAGTGGCAGTTTATCAGAAGTTCCTATGATGAGTTTATTCAGCCTTTTCACTCCCAAGTTTCCCCAAAAGGTTTTAACAGACTCTCACTTTCTATCTGGAATCAGATGGTTTATTTCATTAAAGTCATTAAATAGAAGATTCTTTCTGTAACATTGACATGTGTAGTTACCTGAATTAGGAATATTTGTCTCCCCGATGAGACTTAAACATGCTTAAAAATATTTTTTTTTTGTTAACCCTATTCCCAGAAATATCTCTCCCATAGTCACAACATCTAGAAAGAAATATTACCAGTTGGCAGTTCTGCAAAAAGTACCAAGCAAGAGGAACAGACTTAAAATCTCTTGTAACATTCAGCATCCACTTTCTCCACAGTCCCACTCATGCTTGGACAGTTTTTTTATAGCAGAGATGAGGAACCTGCGGCTCTCCAGGTGTTGTTGATTCCTATCATCCTTTTAATAGTGACCATACTGACTAGGGTTTATTGCTGACTAGGGCTTATGGGAGTGGAAGTCCAGCAACATCTGGAGGATCACAGATTCCCTGTTCCTGCCTCTTAAGGCTGCAGCAGAGACAGGGAACTTGGGACTCAGCTACACAGGTCAACTTATAGCGTTAAAAATGTGTTATAAAATATGGCACTAGGTGGCACTGTAGAGCAGAATCCAAAGTCAATGACAGATTGCCTTGGGAGCTCCCCACCCCCATCCCCATAACAATTTTTAATAGCATTTTTTAAATATCTGTATAGCTCTGGCCTTGGTTGATGTTAGGTCTCTTTTCCTCTGATCTGGATGTTTTTGCTGCATCAGAGGTCCCAGGGCAGGTTACATGAATGAGAAGTATAAAAACGATGAAAAACAATTCTGTAAAATAAAGCAATTTAAATACTGTCATGTATAAAAACTATTTTTAAAAAATTCTGCATATAAATCAGTTAGCAAATAGTTCCAATACAGATACAGACTGGGATGAAGAACTCTACTTAGAAAGTTTGCTGAAAGAGGAAGGTTTTCAGTAGGTTCCAGAAAGAAAATAGATTAATATGTAATTGGAGGGAATTCTAAAGGGTAGGAGCTATAAGTATGGTTACTTATTACTGTCAGGGACTAGCAGGGCTCTGATGAATGTGTGGCAGAGGCAGGGGGCTGAAGGTGGACCTGGGAGAGGGGGCCAGCAATTTATGAGTTTGATGACACCCACGAGGCAGGAGCCAGGGTGTGGGGAATGGGAAAGATCTAAGCAGTCAATGTCTCTGGTTGCATGTGCACACTCCATCAGATGAGGGTACATAATCCTGGGAGTTATGGTCCCACTGTTACTTCAACTGTTCCACCAGGCACAAACCAGGAAAACAGCTATGTAGATGCTGGAAGCGTGTGGGTGTCCAAAGTGCACCTTAAAAGCTGTGAAAAGTGTGTGCTTTTGTCAATAAAGAATTAACTTGGCTGGGATGTGCAGGAAAAATACATTGATATGCCACCTTTTTCTTCCAGTGGTCTCAAGGTGGTATATTTCACCCTCACAACAAACCCTATGAGGTTAATTAAACTGAAAGATTATGAATGGCCCAAAGCTACCCAGTGAGCTTCATGGGATAGGCAGGGATTCAAACCCTGGTCTCCCATGTGAGAGTCAGGCACTCTAACCATCACAACCCACAAGTATATAAGCGCTGGGGAGCAAGCCAGGAGCAACATGCGTTTGTCTCAATCCACCATCTCCTCAAGGTAGCTAGAGGTGCAGAAATCCTCTTGAGGGCAATGTTCACCCTCCTCCAATGATACCTCAGGCATGAGCATAGCTGACTCCTGACATGGGATGGAGTTCACCACCTTGGGGAGAAGAGGGAGTAA